CTGACCAGGGATTGAACCCAGGCCCTCTGCATTGGGGGCGTGGAGTCTTATCCACTGCGCCACCTGGGAAGTTCCGCCACAGTAGATCTTAATGGTCAGACAAGTTTGGGAAACTGTAGAGTGGGGTGGAGTCAGAATCTGACTCCAGTTCCACTTTGGCCTCTGCCATATAATTGCTGGGTAGCCTTAGGCAAGTTATTTCTTTGAGCCTCAGATCCCTCATTCATACAATGTAACTAATAATATCCACTTCAGAGGGTTGTTGTGAGAATAAAATGGAAAAAATCATAAAATGTCCTGAAGTGTGTGCCTGGTACATTTTAAGGGCACAATAAACGTGAGATGTAAACACCTCACACACATTTTTTGACTTTGCCATCAGCCATCCCCTTCAGAGGCAGCAGGACGGTCTGGGGCATGGCATCAATATGACCAGACAGTGAGCTTGAACTTCAGCCTTATTGCAAGGAGGCTGCATATCTGGAGGAGATATGGACTTTAAATTGAATACTCTTCCGTGATGGTGATCATAGTTTGATAGAGAAAAAAGAACAGAAAGAAATAAGTGGGTCTGGAAAGAGCTTTGAGGTTGAAATCCAAGCTGGGAAAATTTTTGGAATATGCACAAGGATAAATACACTTCAAAAAGGCAGGAAAAGTCATCAAGCAAACTTGAGATTTACAAGGAAAGACAGTTTGCTGAGAATAAACAATTTTTCTTTGATCCCCTTTTAGTTGGAAAGCCAAAGTTTAAAGCATTTGTAATTCATCTACCTCCTTTCTTTGCAAGCCTTATTTTTCTACTAGGTGCCATGCCCTGTGCTCCTAACAGAGGTTACAAAGATAAAAGGAATACCCATCTCAAGAAACTTGCTGTGTGTCATAGGGCACAGGAGAATAAGCAGTTACAGCAAAGGGTGTAAGAATGGTTTCTAGGGCTGTTGGGTGGAGGACAGCTTACCTGCTTGAGGGAGAAAGCAAAACCTCTCAGTGGAAGTCTTTTTTTTCAGCTTTATTGAGATAAAATTAACATAAAATACTGTGCAGGTTTGTGTACAACACAATGATTCGATACATGTATATACTGTAAAATGATTACGGCAATCAGAGGAAGTCTTGAAATAGAGATTTCATGATAGTTACATCATCATTATCATTATAGTAACCATGAGCTAACAATGATAACGATAGCTGACATTAACCAATGCTTATTTTATGGCAGATGCCCTGTGAGGCCCTTTACGTTATCTCCTGTCGTGTAAAATTGTTGCCATATGCAGTATCTTGGTTTACCTACTTGTGTTTGCACTGTCTATTTGCGGCTGGTTCTAATGCCATTGCTGCACAACTGGTAAGTTACAGTACTCACCAGAACATTGATTCTCCCATACTAGCTTTCTTACTGATATAATAGGCAATTCACCAATTTACAAGAACTGGAACTGACGGCATTTAGTCCCAGGCAGATTACCATCCCCGATGCCACTGACCCTACTTCCCCAAAGTCCCACTGCCTGCATCCAGCCTGTGCAGGAGGACCGGAGTAGATCCTGGGCTTAGGGCATCATCCTGTCCTCATATGTGCAAAGCCCTAAGCTCACAAAGTCTAGGGTAAAAACATTGTCAAATTCTTTGTTGGAAAAGATGAGCTCTTACTTTCAGGGTAGTGGTAGCAATAATAAGTGACAATAATAATAACAAGAAGAATATCTAACATTTACCAAGCACTTATTATATTGCATATTTAATATATTGCATGTATTAACTGACTTAAACCTCACATGTATAGATACTGCAACTGTCCCCATTTTACAGACAGAAACTGAGGTCCAGTTGTGTGCCATAGTTGGGAAGCTGAGCACAAGGCTGGACATAAGTAGGAGAGGATAGATTGCAGTTCATTCTTAGGCAGGTCCACCATGAGAAGCTCCGCCTCAAGGCACTGCAAAGCACTAGTTCTCCAGTGTTTGCAGGATCACAATTCAGTTCTTTATTGCTTTATTTATTTATGTTTGGCTGCACCATGCAGCATGCGGGATCTTAGTTCCAGAACCAGGGATCAAACCCGTGCCCCCTGCAGTGGAAGCGTGGATTCTTAACCTCTGGACCACCAGGGAAGTCCCACAATTAAGTTCTTTGGAAAGACCATTCCCAATATGCCCTTGACCTCTCCACACATCCTAGGTCAGCTCTGCTCCACCCGCTCCCTACAGATCGTGGCTCTTTACATGCCTAGGTTGTGTCTTATCTCTGTCTTTATGCAGTGCTTGCCTTGGCTCCAACTGCCCTTTCCTTTCCTTTTCATTTCTTATTTATCCCAAATTCAGCGCCTGTCCAAGGGGTCACCTTCCCCAGGGAGCTTGTCCAGACTCGTTAAGGGCTACCACATTGCCGCTCCAATGCTGACCACTCCTTCATTTATAGATCCCTGCCCGGAAATAGTGGGCTCACCAAGGCCAGGGGCTGTAGCTAATTCATTTTATAATGCCCAGCATTTGAAAGCTCCTATAGGATATACTGGAGCTGTGATTCTCTGCTTATTGTCACCCTTCATTTGTTTTCCTCCATCGCTCGGCACTTCTAGACAGTGAGGACAGCTTGGACACTAAAATTGACAACTGAGGGTGACATCTCCATTTGCTAAGATGGCACAGTTTTTCTCATTGTGCTCGATTTGTAATCAGCACCCTCTCGGCACTGGCATAAATCTGTGGTTCTTCCCCAAGAATGCCATTTGTTCCTTTTATGCCTCGATTCATCACATACTGTGGAGGGTGTTAGCTGAGTAAGACTTTCTGCTTCATGAAAGTGTTACCAAATACACCATAAGGAGGAAAGCACCAGACGTCTGTCTGCAAAGAAAGCAAAATCCTGGTTTGGGAAGAGTCAAGGGTGGCCAGTGCTCCCCAAGCATTTCCGGGCCTGAGGTTTGGCTCTGTGGGCTCCTTGGGGCCTCATAACTGATGCCCACATTCCATATCAGTCGTCATTCTGGAGAAATTCGTCAACTTTCCTGCTGATCTGAGCCTGGAAACTGGTGTCTGTTTACTCACTTTCAAGCTGAAAATTGAGACAAACTTGCTGGATAATTTTGACAAAAATAACACACATGATTGCGTGTCATCCCATGATGGACTTAATTTTCCTCTTTTTTTGAGCTATCAGGACTTTCTCAAGGCATATATAGTTTTCAGTGAAATAGGTCATTCACAGTTGGAAGTTATACAACCTTGCCAAACCTTGACCAAAAATAACATTCTGGTGCCCAATTTAGTGCAAGGGGTAATAAAGTGTTCTCCGATTTGTAGTAAGGAATTAAAGGCAGGGGTTGGGGTCTAGACAATGGTAATAATAAAGACTAAGGATATCAAGACAGTGAGTAGACTTGAGGGGATTTTCATAAAATGCAGTTTTCCTTTCTGGTCACGTTAAAATCAATGTGTAGTACATTATCTACTCTAGGGAAACGTGTATTCCATTTGCTTTCTGTCGTAATTCTTTATTGTATTTGGGAGTAAATGAGCTTCTGCAGATGAAGTTAATATTAAAATTTAGAGAGAGACTGAAAAGAAACCCTTCCAGAGCTAATAGTCACACAGAATTTAAAATATTAATTCACCAAAGGCCCCCAAACCTAACTTCGCTTGGAAGAACACTCTCACTGATATGCCCAGGCTGCAAAAACTTTCACGCGTTAGAATTCTGCAGTATTTAGTGAAAGGATCTTAACTTCCTCTGTTAGGTTCTATATTCTGAACTTCAGACCCGACAGCTGCTTCCTAGTGGTTAGCCAGGTGGGAGGAGTTAGTAAAAAAAAGCACATTGAGAAGTGGATCAGGACAGATGGACAGGATTCACCCTCCCTGAAATTCAGGGAGATGGGTGTGGGCCAGCTCACTGCCCATGCATCTTCATTTTCTTCCTCTTCCTTTTTTCATATCAAAGAAAGATATCTTAGCGCTGTTACTGTGGGTTTCTATTGAGGACCAAAAGCATCAGCAGCTTCGCTGCTTTGAGGTAATGCTCTCTGTTTGTTGTGGGCCTGGACCAAACTGCCTCTCTGATAACCCACGGATAGCCTGATGGGATGGGAGGAATCTTGGAGACACCCCCTTCTCCACCAAGCCCAGATAACAGTTACAATACTTTTGTAGCTGAGGTGTTTGCAGTTCAACGCATTTCAACAGTTCAGTCATAACTACATTGATCATTTTCCATTTTTCCTGTTTTTGTTTTTGTTCTTGCTTATTTTTTTCCGGTACGCGGGCCTCTCACTGTTGTGGCCTCTCCCGTTGCAGAGCACAGGCTCCGGACACGCAGGCTCAGCAGCCATGGCTCATGGGCCCAGCCGCTCTGCGGCATGTGGGATCCTCCCAGAACAGGGCACGAAGCCGTGTCCCCTGCATCGGCAGGTGGACTCTCAACCACTGCGCCACCAGGGAAGCCCATTTTTCCTGTTTTTAATGCAACCTAATACTAGTATCAATAAAATTGAAAGTGCTTTTATAATAGATGACTCATTGCCATCTCGCGTCCTAAATTTCTGTCCCCCTCTTGTCCAACTTCTCACTTCCCCTCATTCCTTCCCTATTCCCAGGGTTGCTCACATGTTTATTTCTAAGAATAAACGCTTTTGACTGAACTGTTTTTAATACTCTTTTTAAAAAGAATTTATGTTCCTCCTTGTTTTCACAAGCAAGACTTAAGTTTGGACTCAAATGTTGTAGGAAGGCAATTTTTCATCCTCCTGACTGTGTCCAGGCATGAGACCAGAGGCAGCTAAGACCAGAAGGTTTCCATTTGCTCTGAATATTTAGGAGTTCTTTTCAGAGGGTAGGTGCAATTTTAGTTTGAAAAAGAAAGAAAGAAAGAAAAAGGAGAGAATTGTTGTGAGGTTGGGCCTGGTCACATTTTGACATTTGAAAATGAGATTGTAAGAAGGTCACATCAGACCACTTTTTATAGGGGTAACTAATGGTTTTCGTCTCTTTCTGTTCCAGCCACACCAGCTATCCTTGTCAGAGCATCTCAGAGTCTGCAGAGAGTTCATCCAGGCCTAGAGACAAGTAAGAATTTCACTCCCTTTTCTGCCTTCAACGATATTGTCCAGGTTTTACTGTAATTCAAGCTACTGTCCTTTCCCTATTTTATTTGGGATATGGTAACTGGATGAATGACTGACTGAAATTACATGGGCAAACTAACAAATTTTTTTTTCAGAATTTCTTTTTTAACTTTTCTGCAAGGCTGCTTCTTTTTTTTCCCTTTTGTTTTAATTGAACGAAAGATCCTTTAAATTCCAAAGTTCTTTACAATTTTCAAAAGTTTCATGCAAATGATTTCATATAATCCCATAATAACCCTTTCTTTCCTCTACCCCTGTCTTGCCCCTCCCTCCTTCCCTCTCCCCACTGGTAACCACTAGTTTATTCTCTATATCTGTGAGTCTGCTTCTTTTCTGTTTTATTCATTAGTTTGTTGATTGTTTTAGGTTCCACATATAAGTGATATCATACAGTATTTGTCTTTCTCTGTCTGACTTATTTCACTTAGCATAATATCCTCCAAGTCCATCCATGTTGCTGCAAATAGCAAAATTTCATTCTTTTTATGGCTGAGTAGTATCCCGTTGTACATATAACACATCTTCTCTATCCATTCATCTGTTGATGGACACGTAGGTTGCTTCCATACCTTGGCAATTGTAAATAATGCTGCTGTGAACATTGGGGTGAGTATATATTTTCAAATTAGTGTTTTTGTTTGTACCCAGGAGTGGAATTGCTGGGTCATATGGTAGTCCTATTTCTAGTTTTTTGAGAAATCTCCATACTGTTTTCCACAGTGGCTGCACCAATTTACATTCTCACCAAAAGTGTATGAGGATACCCTTTTCTCAACATCCTCGCCAACATTTGTTATTTGTGTTCTTTTTGATGTTAGCTATTCTGCCAAGTGTGAGGCGAGATCTCATTGTGGTTTTGATTTGTATTTGCCTGAGGATTATCAGTGTTGAGCAATGTTTCATGGGCCTGTTAGCCACCTGCATTTCCTCTTTGGAAAAAAAGAATGCTTCTTTATTTTTCTAATAAGCTTATCCTTAGAGGTTAAGTAAGCCCAAATTAATGCAAAGAAAAAAAGACATAAAATAACTTATTGTGGGCCAACAATTGGTTTACTGAGTTTAGGAATCTGCGTTTTTGTCATTATTATTTTGAGATATTTCTTTACCTAGTGATCACATTACCAGACAGTCAAATTTGTCCCTTCAACCAAATCGCCTTGGGCTCTGAAATTCTGTCCACTGCTCCGTGATAGCATTTACCTCACAACATCTTCATGCATGTGTTCATACCATGTGCAGGACTCAATGAGTTGTGTGCACTGCACAAATTAATTATGTCGCAATTAATTAAGGCAAAGCCTATGTTTTCTGCTTCTTCTAAATCCTTCCCGTGACCTAAAAAAAAAACGTGATCACATAGTAGGCACCTTCAATTAAGTTCTAAGGTTGGATTTTCTTTTCCTCAGTTGAAGTATGTGCGCGAGTCCACATTACAAAATAAAGGAAGGGAAGTTAGTGTACCTGACCGTGTTTAAGCCATTGCTGTTTCAGGGATCATAACGGCATCATGAAACTATAATTGGGGTTTTGTGCCTAAATTGCAGAGTCCTTTTCTAGTAGGCGATGTAAACATCATTTTTCTTGGAGGTGACTGGAAGGGAGGGTTGGTGCTGTTTTTAACAAACGTCATCAATTCTTCAGTTGTGCCAGACCGCAAACTCTACAACCCTCCTGTTTTAGAATCATCTGACATGTTAATCTGCTCCCTAATTAACGTGAGGGCTTGTGGAAAGACTAGCTGTTGCTCATGTGTGGGTTATCCCAGCCAGAATATTCCAGAGCCTTCACTCAGTAGATGATGTGGCTTATTGCTGCTTTCTGTAAGGAAATAAGAAAGAATCAGTTAAGAATGGTTTACTAATGGTGCGTGCTCCATCCCACACTGGAACCCTCCCCAACACACAACCACAATACACTGCCCTTCTCTTGCCCCCAAAGTGATGGTAAGATTTCCCCGAGCCATTGTCTTTGTCAGGTCATGGGGTCTGAGGACCTTAAGCTGTGGGCCTTGTTGGAATACAACCTGTGAGTATGGCAGATGTGTTGAAGAAGTTGCTACCAGTCATTTGGCATATGCTGATTTTCTGTCCTTGTGATAAACAAGAATAATAGCTCTTACCCTTCATCTGTGGCACGCCACACAGACACTGAGCTCCCCACGCAAGGAAGAATCCTATCCTTCCAGCTTCTCCTTATCTGAAGTTACATGCCCTCTGTCTCAGGACTGATTGGATAAAGTACCCCACGTCAACGGATATGTCTGTATCACTAGGCACCTTCCACAGTGCACTCACTAGGACACATGGCCACCTTTATCATCCAAGCATCTCACTGAGATGCAACAGACCCTAGTGCTCCCGTAGCCTCACTGTGTCACTGTGGACACAGTCACGGTATCACAAATGTTTAACTCCCTGCCATGCACCCAGCACTAGCTAGCTCTACACCTTGAGGAAGAAAGAAATGTGTAAGATATTGTCCTGACCTCAGGGAGGTCATATTCCCCCTAAGGAGATAGTTTTACACAAAAAGCTAGTGTTCAAGAACTGTCAATTCACAATTGTAATGTATACATTTCCTATGTGCACTTTTCTGAATTCTCGGATTCAAAGCAAAACCTTGTGGAAGAAAAATAAATAAACCCTCCCAGAGTGAATCCTAGACAGAACTGTCCAAACGTAAATAAAGGCCACCACCCTTCTGCAGGCCACCTTTACTTTACACTTGGGCTATCACAATAACCCTTTAGTAGCTGTCTCTCTCCTCTCTCCTTCCACACCCTACCCCCTCTCTCCTTCCTTGTATCCATCTTCCTCTGCCAATAACGATTTTCAGAATCCAACATATCCCTCTGTTCTAAATAACCCTAACTATCTTTAGTACCTTCCCCACTGCCTAAATTTTAAACTGCAATCCTATCCCAAGACACTCAAATCCACCATCTGTCACCTGACCCCAGCTTGTAAGCCTAGACTACCCACTACTCCCCAGGAGCACTGTGCTTTCCCTCCTCTGGGACTTTGCTCGTGCCGTCCCATCTTCCAGAACTATCATCCTTCTGCCTCGCCCAGCATTCTGGAAATATAAATCCTGCCCATACTTTAAGGTTCAGCCGAAACACTTTGACCCTTGGCCTGAAGCAGTTCCTCCCTCCTCTGTGTGTGTCTTTGAGAGGTCACACGATTTCGTATCGCTCTGAGGGGATATGTTACACGCTGCTTTGGAGTGTAGCTATTTGCATACTTCTCTTATCTTCCCATCTGGATTATGAACAGCTGTGTCTTGTTCAGAGTTGTATAACTCACAGTACCTCAAATGGTACCTTGAACATTGTAAGTAATAAATGATATTGCAAATAAATTAACTAAATGGAAGTATCCTTAATAGCTCCCTGGCTACCCACCCTTCGGCACTCTTGACAATTCCCACCAGCCCCCCTTGTTATCATGGAGCCTCTTGGATCTCAGGGGCGGGGGGTGGAGGGGGGGCATTCATGGAGGAACAGATCTCGCCACCTGTGTTAATTGCCCATTAATCACCTTCAGTGTTGCTAAAAGGACTCATAGGAATCAAATGGTTTATACTCAGAGGATAGCTTCCTTACAGGCAAAGGATACACTAGGGCAACAGCAGATGAGGGGAGTGCACTGACCGGGGTCTGGAGAGCCCAGGTGTAGGCCTCTTCGTCCTCTCACTGCACAGTCACACCAGACACCCTGTGTCTCCAGGTCTGGAACCACTACCTGTGTGCCTGCCAAGCACCTTGGTACCAGGAAGCCCAAAGTCTGCTCGTGATGGAGTTTCCTAGAGTGAGCTCGTCATGTAGGCACACCCTAGCTATGTGGACAGCCTTACATCAGCCCCCAGTTCCACTGAATTTAGGTGCAAATCATAAATTTAATTATATTGCTAAGCAGCATTGACAAGCTGACATATTCTGCCCTGAAACAACTCAGGGACCCATGACTACAGCACATCACTTACCTTTGGTTAACACAGTCTATACATAGCATTGCCAAGCGTCAGTAACTCTGGAAAAAAAGCACGCGTGGAAAAAAAGCACAGCTAAAACTAACCCATGCCATCCGCCACTTAAAGAATTGCCCATTGCGTTCATCTCTTCCTTCTCTTGCTCACCAAAAAGTATCTGTCCCAGCTTCTAAGCCCTCGGGGCTTTGCTTTCTGCGTGCTTTTTGCGTGGACCTAATCCATGTGAATAGGTGTTTGTGTGCTAATGGGCACATACTAACATACCTTCTGCAGATTACAGGCTTGAGAAATATTTTCTGGAAACAAAGAGCTATTTTTAAAAGTCCCATGAGGACGTTTTATCCCATGCACGTGGGTAGCAGCATACTTCACCTATGCAGAGGCGTAAATCTGAGCAAAAACCCACATATAGAATGAGAAGGATATTGACAGAGTTTACGGTTTAAAGTGGTAGGCATCTTTGTATACTTTAAAGAAGTAACGGTGCAAACTTACTACAAAGAAAGCTGCTTTTAGTTGTGGGAGAGGGTGATGAGGATGGTTAGAATCTTCTAGAGAAAAGCAAAACGTTGTTAGTGCTCCTGAAGAAGGCAGACTCCCGAGTTAGGCTGCTGTGGTCCCATGTGCTTTGTGTTTTCCCAGTAATTTCATGTCTCTCTCACAGTTGGTTTTTGGCAGAGGATTTGATGATCGTATGGGCCAAATACTTAAGACTTATTAAACACATAGAGAAATTATTAAAAGATTGCACATCGTTCTGAGGGGGATTTTTCCTGTCCTTTTTTTTAAAGCCACACCTTTTCACTGAATTTGTCACGTATTACTATGAAAGTGTAAATTGTGTGATCAGTGGCATTTCCACCTCAAAATAAAATGAATATCCAACTGGAGAAAACTACTGAAGTTTCATTGACTGGCATCTGGAGCATAAATTAGTCCAAGATTTTATGA